TTGTTTCATGCATCCTCTAAACAAGAATCTGAACTACCAATGTTCAAGGCAAATTGGCAGTAAACGGAATTCAAGGATGACTGGACTCTTTCTTGTGGGCGCGAAAAGACTCCAAATAGATAACTTGCTTGATCCATCCCTTGACCTCAGCCTGGTCATCTCCTACACCTGAATCACTGTAGCCAGGTCCTCCTGCCCAGTACTGTCACAACTGGTACTTCAGCAAAACTGGACATAGGCCCTTCTGGCTATCACTTTACCTTGCTGGTCCAGTGGGAGCCGTGAGTCCAGAAGAAACCTCGGTTTGTGAATCTACTTCTTCAAGGGTAAAGGTTGTCAATCTAGGAACAACTGTGGCAGCATCTAAGAATCTCAGTGTAAAATTAATTTATCACAGATTATTTCATCCTGTTCTCTCGCTTCCAGACTCTGACAGTTTCTAAATATCAGAAAAGAACTTGGACAGTGTCTTTCATGGCCTGGTAGCAATATAGGGTTGGATGAAATCAGCACACTGATGTTGCCAGATCTCAAACTGTCGAATGATCACTCTCAGTGGCTTCATATAAACCTTAAAAGCAGAGGAGAGAGAACCAGTCCTTGAGACAACCCCTAGGTCAAGTGAGGTGGGCTGACTTCTCCCCAGTCTTCTCCCACCTGACTGCAGAAGCTTTCTCCTTCTTCCATGTTAATGGTCAGATGACTCTTCACTTTCAACATTGTATCTGCATAGCATACTGCTACAGGTAGTCCTTGGATTACATCCACTATAGAGCCTGTGTGGATCTTAAGTGAAACAGTCCTTAAGTGAGGTATTATGTGACTGCCAATGTGACTGCTTGGCTTAATGTGTGCAATCCTGACATTGTGGTTGTTAAACGATTGTGTGGGTTATTAAACGGACAGAGTCCCAGGAAAGGAGCAAGGAGTACTTGGGGCGGGGGAGGTGGAGACCCGGCAAGTTTCCATTTGCCAAAATGCAGGATTTTGAGCCACTGAACGAAGGGAGACACACATGTAGCCTTCCCCCAAGCTTCCCAAAGCCTTCTCTACCCACCTGAGGGACCTCACACTCCTTATCTTACTGCACTCCACTCTTAGCTTGGATTTCAGCTCTCTCTCTTCACTAGAGGCTCGCTGAAAGAGCTGCCTAACGAAGGATATCAGCTCCCCTCTGTGCATGGGAATGCCTTTGATGGGGTGCAGAAATGTGGCTTAGATCTTCATGATCCATTTCTCCACCCCGCCAAAGGAACATGCAGAAGAGAACTCCTTCCAAAGGGTGCAGAAACAGAGTTCAAATCATCAAGATCTGAGCTCCGTTTCTCAACCCCCGGAGGGAGTTCAGCTCCCCTTGGCAGGCAGCTCTTTTCAGCCAGCCCCAAGAGATGAGAGGAAGTCCTCTCAGCTGGTGACAGCAGCTTGCAACCTTCCATGCTGGCTTCCCCACTGATTTTCTGGGGAAACTGACAGAGAAGACTGCAAATAGCCATCACCTGGTGGTAGGGCACTTGGCAACCAGCTGTAAGAGCAAATAAGTTGCCAGGCATCCAAACCATGATCATGTGACTGATGGTCAAAACTGCTTTATGGGCCGTCATAATTTCCAACAGTTCTTAAACAACCAGTTTTAAGTCGACTACCTGTAATGCTGAAGGTTGTTGGAAAAATTTGAATTGAAAGTGCTCTCAATGAAATCAAGCTAATTTTCAAGTGAAATTTACCTCAGCAGATTTCCACATATGCTTTCTAAGGATAACCACATGGTTAAAAACGGTTTAAAACTGCTATCTTACCTAATATTGTATTTGGAATTGCCATCTGTTACTAATAAACTTATGAAACATAGAAAATATTTAGGGGAAGTACAGACTGGCTTCCTTCGCAGTTAGTTGGCCATCGTAAGAACAGTCTGCTGGATTAGATGGGCCAGCCAGGGGTCTGATCCAACAGCACACTGACTATGTTCAAAAAAGCATCTTGTAGGACTTCACTAAGTAAGTGGCTGTCAGGCCTGCAGCCATCTTTTCTTGTGGATCTTAGGCCTGCCACACTTTCTATTATTCTACTATGCATTTTCTATTGTGGGAAAATGGGAGGAGAGATTGTACGGAGTTAGATGATATGTAGCCATAACAAAATTATTTCTAGAAAACCAAGGTCATCCTTTGACTTTGCACCTCTGCACCTGACCAGAACTGGATGGGTGGAAGCTGCCAGCATGTCAGTGGAAGATTGGACCGTGTGATGGACTTGTGGGTGTGGGGGCAAGATCATGAACTTTCAACTGGGTGGGGAAAACCGGGAAGCCTTCAGATTTGGGTTTTCCC